GGTAGGGGAATTGTGGGGGGATTTCTCATGTAAAATTTCCAGAGTCCAAAGGCAGAGACCTTAGAGCTCTGATGTCGTGGTGGCTGAGTTTCCGGTGTGTAGAGTGCATGTATTTCTTTGATATGTTGATTTCTTTTCCTTTCGATAGATACTCAGTAGTGGGACTGCTGGATCGAATGGTCATTCTATTTTTAGTTTTCTTGAGAAATCACCATACTGTTTTCCATAGTGGCTGTACTAATTTACATTCCCACCAACAGTGTATGAGAGTTCCCTTTTCTCCACATCCCTGCCAATATCTGTTAATTTTTATCTTTAATAATAGCCATTTTGGGTGGGGTAAGATGATATCTCATTGTGGTTTTGATTTGCATTTCTCTAATGATTAGTGATGTTGAACAGTTTTCATATGTCTGTTGGCCATTTGAATGTCTTCATTTAAGAAATGTTTATTCATGTCCTTTGTCCACTTTTTAATGAGATTATTTGTTTTTTTTTTCTGTCGAGTTGTTTCAGTTCCTTTATATCCTAGATATTAGTCTCCTGTTGAATGAATGGTTTGGAAATACAATATTTTCTCCCATTCAACAGGTTGTCCCCACACTCTGTCAATTGTTTCTTTTGCTGTACAGAAGCTTTTTTGTTTAATTAAGTCCCACTTACCTAATTTTGTTTTTGTTGCCTGTGATTTTAAGGTCTTAGTCATAAATTCTTGGCCTAGACTTGTCTAGCAGAATTTTCGCTAGGTTTTCCTCCAGTATTTTTATAGTTGCGGGTCTTACATTTAAGTCTTTAATCCACTTTGAGTTGATTTTTGTATATGGTGAGAGATAGGGTCCCATGTCATTCTTCTGCATGTGGCTCTCCAATTTTCCCAGCACCGTCTATTGAAGAGGGTGTCCTTTTCCCAATGTTAGTTCTTATCAGTTTTGTCAAAGGTCAGTTGGCTGTAAACATGTGATGTTATTGCTGGGTTCTCTATTCTGTTCTATTAGTCTATGTGTCTCATAATATTCTTTTATTGTCCTTTTGATGTCCATGGGATCAGTAAAGAGGGCCCCTATTTCATTTCTAATATTAGTAATTTATGTCTTCTTTCTTTTTTTCATGGTCAGCCTGGCTAAGCTTTTATCAATTTTATGAGCTTCTCAAAGAACCTGCTTTTGGTTTCATTGATTTTTCTCTACTATTTCCTATTTTCAGTTTCAT